AAAAAAAAAAAAAAAACATCTTCAATTTTGTCAGCAATAAACTGTAAAATGTTTTGGTGATTATTCAGCAGTCTTACATTTAATCATGCAGAAACAGTTGTATAAATTGAATTTACATTCGTCCATTTTGTACTTTGAAAATATAAGACGCAAATGTTCATGTAAATGCATCATGAAAACATTTATTGGCCCTTTTCCCATTGACAGCAAAGACATTGTGCCATTTAAATGGCACACAAATACACACAAATACATTAAAAAACATTGAAAACGGGACTAGGTTATTTGCAATTGTATCATAACTTTAAGTGCTTCAGCAAAGGATTCTTGCTCAAAGTTTTCTTGTTTTGCTACTCATCCGAGAAAAAAATTTAGTCTGTGAGAAAGCAATTAATTATTTGTCATTATTTCATTGAGGGTTGTTATTTGTTTTGGAGCAGTAAAACAAAATATAATCAAGTGTAAATTTAGTGCTGTAAAAAAAACAAAAAAATCTGAACACATTCAACAATGTAGCGCTTCTATATTTCAATCAATCATCCCAAGATTCAACCAAACTGGACCATGGGGTGGTCCACCCAGGTTGGAAGGTTGGCTAGTTTCTCCTCAGTAGCCTTTTCGATGGGCCAGCTCCAGGCTTTAAAGAATCCACACAGGTTCATTCCCACAGTTTTGGAGAAAGTCTCTGCGTACAGGTTCATCTTGCCGCCGTTGTCCTTTGGATAATTACTTATCTTGTGGTAAGCAGCAAATACCTTCTTGAAGGCATCCCATCCAAATCTCTCCTGGAGCTGCGTTAAAAGAGCACGTTTTATTCATCAGCATCGGTTCGAAATAAGGTGTAACGGGTGTGTTAAAGCCTCTCAGACACATCGGCTTTTTTTTTTAAATTCTTTTGAGATGTACTCACATCTCAAAATAATAAGAAAACAATACTAGGTCCACGTCTCTTTCCTGTCTCTCACCTGCAAGTATGTTTCAAGAGCCACCCACACCTCCCACTTGCTGAGTTGCCTGCCCCCTTTGACAAATTCCTCCAATCGACTCTTCCTTTTTGCTGAAGCGACATCGCCGTGAGCCTGTATTGAAAAACCACTGATGTGAATGTAAGATGACATAATCCAGGACCCAGTCAAGAGAAGAAAAATGAGTTCACCTTTCCCCTGTTGATCCCCAACACCTCCTCATGGATGTACACTGACCAAATGTTGCATGTACACTCTGTGGTGTGTGGCCGGAACTCCCAGGGATCTCTCTGCTGGTTGTGCCCGGGTGAACAACCAACTGGCGGTGCCATTATCATTCGGGGGGGGCTGAGAGATGCATTGATGCCACGCAAACTCAAATGGTGAAAATGCAATTCTCTGTCTGTCTTACTAAGTTTGGTTTGGTACATTTTGCATTATACTGCATCCGTCCAAGTTTTACTTTGACAAAATGACTGCTTCGAAAAAAGGTCATTGAAACAATAGCAAAAGTGGAGGATACTGTCGCACCACACTGTGTTGTACACATGCAAATTGTACGTTTGTTCGAAAGCCTACTAAAGTCAGCCCAAATGTTTCG